TGGGACCAAGGTCAGATTGAGCTTTCTTGCAGCTGATCCTCAAGGCTGTATGGGAGGCAGTCTGTACTTCCTTACTAACTCATCACAATTTTTGTATGTGTTAACATTTATTTTAAAAATACACAAAATATAAATTTTGTACATCAAAATATCATCTCACTTCTGACTGTATGAGCTTAAGTTTCTGGCCTTGGGAGTAAATATTTGTTAACATGAAAAGTTGTGACAATTACATCCCACTTACTGGTTGAGGGTTTTGGTCTCATGAATTGGTACAAATTTTTAAATGCCCTGTTGAAACTTTAGAAACAGAATAAAGTTCTGTGGCTGATACCTGACATAAATTTTAAGCATCACACGAATAGAAATATATCAAAAGCTTATTATAGAAAATATAGGGGCTGGGGATTTAGCTCAGTGGCAAAAGCGCCTGCCTGGCAAGCACAAGGTCGTGAGTTCGGTTCCCGGTACCGGAAAAAAAAAAAACAAAAAACAAAAAATGAAAATATAGCCAGGCATGGTGGTGCATGCCTACACTCCCAACACCCAGGAGGCTGAGACAGGAGGATTGCTGTGAGTTCGAGGCCAGCCTGGACTACATAGAGAATTCAGGGTGCTAGCCTGAACTACAAAGTGACACCCTGTCTCAAAAAAAAAAAAAAAAAAAAAAAACAAACCTAAGGAAATACTGAAAGCATTAAGAAAAAATAAGCTTACCCATAATCCAGTGACTCAGAGAAAACCATTGTTCAAAGTGATTCTCACAAATATAAAGTGAGCCTGGCCAAAACAGTTTTGACTTTTTTGTGATGAGTGTTTCTTTGTCTTGTGTTAATGTGTGGCAGGACTATCCATTGTTCTGACCAATAGTATACTTCACTTTATGTTTTGCTATCTTGCAGGGTTAACTTTACTTCATTTCCATCACTCTTTTTGTTAGGAAAAAAGGGGGGAAATATTTCATTAAGCTTTTTTAAAGTATTTAATTTTGATTATGTTTATGACTGCTATTTTTAGGAAGTCTGATTTAAGTCTAGGTTAAATCTTTTTTTAAAATTTTAAAGATAAAGAACATATTAACAGACACAGACATTTATAAAAGAACACAAAAACAACACAAGCAATACATATTTTCAGACATGGTGATAACAATGGTGGCTGTATTACATATTGATATGTTCAAAGTGGTTACTCATATAAATAACTATAGGCATTTAACATTGATCAAACAATTAAACATTAACTGTTCCTTTCAATAAGATAATAGAAATCCATAGTACAACTATCTTAGTTATCCTGTATAGGTTAAATCTACTGAGGTAATATGAAACAAAAGGTCTTACAATTTTTTAAATTACGAATTACTCTTTAATAATTCATTTAACAAATATTGATTGAGTTTCCACAAGCCTTGCACTGGTCCTTAGACATACAATGGGGAAAGAGATAAAGGTCATGGGGTCTTACTTCCATAAGGCTTATATTCTGGGGTAGAGGTCAGCAATCTCTGTGGCCCTTCAGTCCAAACTAGCCCACCTCCTGTTTTCTATGGCCCTCAAACTTAAAAAAGAAACAAGAATGTTTAATTGTTTGGAGTAATTATTGATTTGCATGAGGATATAAGAAATAATAGAGAAGAATCCTGTGCACCCTTTACCCAGTTACCCCCAGTAGTAACTTCATGCAAAACATAGTCCAATAAGGATTTTGACATTGATGCTGTCAATAGAAAATTCCCATGAAGACAAACATCTTTCATGTTGCGCTTTTATAGCCACACCCACTTCCCTTTCATCCTTCTACCCCCACCCCTACCTCTCCTTGACCTCTGGCAACCATTAATTTGTTTTCCATTTCTATAATTCTATTATTTCGTAAATGTTATACAAATGGAATGATATGGTATGTAATCTTTTGGAATTCATTCTTTTCACTCTGTAAGTCTCTGGCAATTCACTCAAGTTATGTATTTAGTTCATTCATTTTTATTGCTGAGTAAATATATGGTATGGATATGTCAGGACTTGTTTAATCATTTACCTGTTAAAGGACATCAGGGTTATTTCTACATTTTGGTTATTATGAATAAGGCCTTTGTAGACATTCTTGTGAACATTTTTTTTTTTATTTCTTTGGTATAAATTCCCAGAACTACATTTGCTGAGACCTTTTTTTTGAGACAGGGTCTCACTATGCCGTTCAGGCTGGCCTTGAGCTCACTTTGTAGTCCAGTCTGGTCTTGAACTCACAAAGATCCTCCTGCCTCAGCCTCCTGAGTGCTAGGATTACAGACGTGCACCAACATGCTTGGCCACTGAGACTTAACAGTAGCTGCACATTGAGTTTTGTGAAGAAACTGCCGAACTCTCCCAGAGTGAGTATACCAGACAACAGTGACTCAGTTTCTTTACATGCTTATTTTTTATTTTAATCATTCAAGTAGGTGTATAATAATACTTTATTTTGGCTTTAATTTGCATTTCTCTGATGAATAAAAGTCCAGTTTACCAATTTTTCCTTTTTTCAATTATGCTTTTGGTATCAGTCTCAGACCCCTGTCTAGCAGCAGCCCTAAAGAATTTCTCCTGGTTTTGTTTCAAAAATATTTATACTTTTACATTTTACATTAAGTCCATGATCCATGTTAGTCAGTTTTGGTATGAAATATACAATAAATGTGTAGTAATGTCAAATAGATGATTTGGACTCTTTTTTTGGGTGGAGGTGCATATATTTGCATGGTTCTATCTCAGCAATGCTTTTGCTGTATTCTACAAACTTTGATGTGCTTGATTTTCCCTTTCATTCTGTTTTAAAATTTCTTTTGAAACTGCATCTTTGGCCCATGCATTATTTACAAATTTATTGTTCAGTTTATAAGTACTTGAAGATTTTCTTATTATCTGTTATTGATTTCTAGTTTTATTCTATTGAAATCTGTATGGTTTCTGTTCTTTTATTCTTGAAGAACTTTGCTTTAAGACCCAGAATATGGCCTATCTTAGTAAGCTTGAGAACTTGGAAAGAACCTGAACTCTGTTATTAGTGGTCAAGTATTCTATAATTGTCACTTATACCCTATTGTTGATGGTGTTGTTTAATTCTCTTTCTGATTTCAGCAAAGTCTGCTTTTGGTTGTTGACAAAAGGGTATCTTTGCTATGAGTTCTATTTTATCTGACATTAATATAGCCACTCCTACTTTCTTTTAATTAATGTTTGCATGATATACAGACTGAGTATTCCAATCCAAAAATCTAAAATCCAAATACAGAATTACCTTCAGGCTGTGAATACATGGTGTATATGAAACATGAAAGAATTTTGTGTTTAGGCTTTGGTCCTCTCCCCAAGATATTTCATTACATATAAACAAACACTCAAAACACCAAAACATTTCTGGAGTTTCAAACATTTCAGATAAGAGACACTCAACCTATATCTTTGCCATCCTCTTACTTTTAATCTGCCTGTGTCATTATAGTTGAAGTATCTTGTTGAAATACAGTTGAAGTATCTTGTCATTATAGTTGAAGTATCATTGAAGTGTCTTATAGACAGTATATGGTTTGGTCATTTTTTTAATCAACTCTACTAATCTCATATTTAGTTGGTGTAATTAGACTATGCTTAGTATAATTATTGATATACTGGAGCTAAAGTCTACTGTTTTATTTTTTATTTTCTGTTTGTTCTGTTTTGTGTTTCCTGTCTTCCTATGTGTTACCTGAACATTTTCTAAAGTTCTGTTTTTTTGTTGTGTTTTTAGTGTATCTCTTTGTATGGCTTTAAGTGTTTGTTCTAGGTATTATGTTATATACTCATAGCTGATCACAGTCTACTGATATCTTTAGACTAGTTTATATCTTTTAACATCCTTTTACGCCCTCACAATATAATTATTTTAAGTATTTCCTCCACATGAATTTGAAATCCCATCAGATAGTGTTATAATTTTTGCTTCATCAATTAAATATAATTTAGAAAACTCAAGAGGAGAAGGTAAGCTTACTGTATTCATGTTTGCCTACCAAATTCTTTCATAATTTTCCTAGGTGCCTTTTATTTTCTTTCCATTTAGAGAACTTCTTTCAGACATCCTTTAGAAGGTAGGTGTGTAGACAAGAAATTCTTTTGTTTTCCTTCATTTGAGAATGTTTTGAGTTTTCTTTCCAGAAAAATATTTTTACTGTATTCCTGGTCGACAGTTCTTTTCTTTCAGCACTTGAAAAACTGGGTCCTCTCTCTCTGGTGCCCACATTTTCTGATAAACATCTGCTATCATCATTCAGATATTTCCTCTGTAGGTTTTTCTGTGATTTCCTTTTTCCCTTTCTTTTCTTTTTTTTTGGAGGGGAGAAAAGGTATTGGGAATTGAATACAGGGCCTGGCACTTACTTTACCACTGAAGTATAACCCTTTCTTAAGGTCTAAGTTGCTTGGCTTTGAATATAAAATCCTCCTGTCTAAGCCTCCCTAGTAGCTGGCTCAAATGATTTTGTTTTTATTTTTATTTTTTTTGTTTTTTTTTTTTATTTTGTTTTTAGTTGTCAGTGGTATAATGTGTATTTATGTGAATGATTTTAATTTATTTTGTATGACATTTGCTTAGCTTCTGTAATCTATAGGTATATGACTTTTACCATTTTTCCAAAGTTTTTAGGTACTACTTTGGATACTCTTTTTCTTTTCCTTCTAGAACTCTATGAAACAAATATTAGATCTTTTATCATAGTCTTTATGTCTGTAAGGGTTCACTTTTTCTGTACGGTCCTGTCCTTTCCTATTTTCTCTGTTGTTCAGGCTGGCTTTGTATTAGTTTTTACTGTTTTTTCAGTTTTACAGATTCTTTTCTCTGTCCACTCAGTGCTACTAATAAGGCCATTCACTGAGGTTTTTATTTTGGTTATTGTATTTTTCACTTCTGACATCTCTGTTTGGTTCTTCTTTATGTCTTCTGCTTCTTTACTGAGAATTATTGTATTCCTGACTCTCTACTAGACCTCCCCTTGACTCTACCCCACTGAGGAGGAGGAGGGCCGCATTATTGCTGAATGTGAATAGAACATCACCTTGGATAGATGAAAGTACCAGCTTCCCTACTCAGCCTGCTCTGATACCACAGAAGATAGGGAGTATGGATGGGGATCTGGAGTACCCCATTATAGCCTGGTAAGGATAGGAGTAGTGATTTCTCTATCTGGCTGAAGAAGAGTGGTTGATCATAAGTTGTCAGTGTCTCAGGAATGTCCCTTGCTTCTCTGACCCCTGGCTAGGTAGAGAGACTTTTGTTTTGGTGGTACTTTGGGGTTTTTTTTTGTCTGTGCCCATGTCTGTCACATGTTCGGGTTGCCTGCTTCTTCTTCTAAGCAGGCATATATAAGACAGAAGAAAACCCAGGGAACTCAAAGCTGAAATTCCATGCGTTCCAACAACCCTAGACAGTCTAACCTCTTCTTTTCACCATTTAGAGTCTTCTTGTGTTTGTATATATGTGTATGTGTATGTATATGTGTGTATGTATATGTGTGTATTACTAAAATTTAGTGAGCCATGTATATGTATATATATATATATGGCTCACTAAATTTTAGTAACATGGTCTTGTCTAACTTGGCATGAGTTATTCAGGAGTATTATTTTAAAATAAATATTTAAATAATTTTATATGTAACATGTCTTCATAAGGATGATAAATATAGTCTTTTTAAATAATTATCAGTGAATAAATTAAGTAGTAGGTAGCATCTATACTGTATGCATTCCAGGTAAAAAATAATGCAGAGAGAAATATATTTATAAATTAATAAGCATTTATAAATTAATAAAATTAAGTAGAAAAATTCCATGTCCAGTATCCTATTATATTACTTCCCCAGTGAAAACAAATGAGTTTTTAAAAAGTCTTATTTTATACCAGGCATGGTGGTATATGTCAGTAATCACCCTCTTTTTCTTGAAAAATATAAAAAATAAAAATTATTATTAAGTTAAAACATCAAATGTAATTCTTGTAAGCATTGAAAATAGGCAACTTGAGAATACGTATGCACCATAGCTTGGCATAGGCCATACTGTACATATTGTATGAACCCTCTGCTTTATTGCACATTTGTGAGATACATAGCCTACATTTCTTTCCATATTTCTGAAAAATTTTTATGAAGCCATATTCTCTGTAGATAGTACATTTACTCTATTTAAAAAGGAAATCTAAACATTTACTATTGCTGATAGATGGAAAAAGTGATTTTAAGAGTATTTATTACTATTCCTTTCCAAACGTCTAGGAGACAGTTGCTTTGATTGTGAGGTTAATAAAGAAACGCGTTCTTTTTTCCTTTGTTTAGATCCTTGACTATAGTTTCACTTCACTGAATTTGAGTTTGGGTAACATTTTTCTTTCTAAGTAGTGGATAGTTTTGTGAAAATGCTTCTAACATACTTCAGAGTATGCTCTAAAATGTCAGAATAAATAACCTGGGGACATCTTGGATAGATGTAGATAGAGTTCAAAGATCCAAGAATCAGAGGAAGAAAATTGTTTCATTTTTCTAAAAACTTTTGAAATTTAAGTTCTACTGGTGACAATGTCATGGACACTACTAATGCAAACCACATTTTTATAGCATATTCAGTCATTGAAGATGTCTCAAAATACTGTTTCAGCATATTTCAGTAAATAGTAGTTTGTTACTGAGGTTTAAATTAATATATAACTAACATACATTATTAATTTTTAAGCAATACATTACTAAGGAAATATATCTATTATTTATGTTACTATATAACAAATTTGGGCTTTTAGGAAAACATTTTGGTAGCTATTTTGAAATCATTGGTAGCCTTTGTAATTCTGTGTATGTCGTATATCTGTTTAAAAACATTTAGGAAATCTTGTTTTTCTCATGTGCTCTTATCAGCCTGTAATGTGTTTATTTTTCTTCTTTGCAGCATCAGCCACTATGTGATCGTCATGTCCATGGCCATCTTTTTGGTGTTTCTCAATGGTCTGGCACAGCTGCTCACAACTAAGCAGCTCAAACTGTATGGCAAACCCAAAAGCCACCTCATATAATGTTGCTAAATCCATCATCCAGCATCTGGATCCTGTTTATCATTCTCTTTCTAAATTACAATCTCATCAAGGATTCAAAAGAAGATGGATATAGATGCATAGCATGTTCTACTACTGTACAAAACTTATTTGGAATTCTGAGTTTACAGGTTATCTTGGATAAAGGAGATACCTTTTTCTTTGACGTTTTTTATTCACTTTGAAGTAGTGGTTATGTGTGTGGGAATGCATAAGTAAAGCACTCTCCATTTTCATTCTTTTTCTGTAGCTGGCAGCTCTTCTCAGTAATGTTCAAAGCTTCTGTAACAATCTGATCATGGTACAGCTTCCCATGTGTCCAAAGGATAGCGTCTATCTATGGGGACAGTACTGATGGCACCCAACATTGCTGTTGTTGAACTTAAGGGAGATCATAAGCTGGCATCAGGAGTATTTATCAGCTCTCAGCACTGCTTTGTAGTAGTTCTAACTACTCAGTGATATCACTGGTAAGGCAGGGTATGTTATTTCAGATTTACTGAAACTCCGGCAGAAAAATGTTTGTGTTTGTCATTTTTCTTCAGAATGCAGTGGCACTATCTTAGGCATTTTAATGCTGTTTCCAGAGTTTCCATAGTCAGCTAGCTAGATACAGGTTCAACTTTCACTCCCTCTTCCCCTCGTTTCTAGATTATCACAGAATTTGAGGGATAAAAAAATGGGAAGAATGTTTAGTACTTATGTCTTGTCTAAACAAAAAATTAAAAGGAATTTTTAGTTGTAGACTCAATATCTGTTATACTTACAAATTTTTTTCATGTATTATTTCAACGGGATGCTCTAAATTGTGGTTAAAACTTCCTGACAATATCCTAAGAATTCATGTTGAAAATGCTATTTTTGTGGTTGTGAGATACTAGCCATAGACCTAAAGTCATCTCATTAAATTTAGATTTCCATTTGTAAATTAATTCCAATGGACTAAATATTTTAAGACTAATTTTTATTTGGAATATCCATTTACTTTTATATATCACTGTAGAGTTGACCCATGATATGCCAGAAGTGTTTGACTGATGCTAACCTTTGCTGGTATGTATACCATTTTTTTTTTTCAAAAAATTGCTTTTGAATTAAATTATAGCATTGTTAATTTGCATTAATAAATAGGAAGCACTGTACAGCTTACTGGATATTTCAAATTTGCAAGTGATTGAATAAATATAATTTAGAAAATCGAAATTAGGGGCAAAATATATTTTCTTAATCTTTGTTTATGATAAACTATACTTTTAGTATATTTGTGATAATACTTCATGGTACAGTAGTGAAAGAATTTTGGTATATTAAAAGAGAAGTATTTATGTTAACTGAAGACCTTATGATTTGGTCTGTAATATAAAATCTAGGTAGATAAATAAAAGGCTACTGTGTTGGTAGAAAGAGAATCCATGTGCTTTCATATAATCTCATTATTTTTCATCAGTTTTTCCACATATCAGAGAAGACTGATTACTATATAAAAAATGTATCACTTAAGTCTTTTTGTATCTAATTTTGCCTTTTGTCCTTTTTTCCCCAGACTTTTATACAAAGAAATTAATGAATATTTTATTGCAACGTTGTAAAAGGTGCTCAATGCCTTATGTTTATTATGTTCTTCAGAGCATGTTTTTTTCTTTTAATACTGCCTTTGGGGTCATTGTGAGTTTATAGGAGTAGAAAGTGTCTCTGCAGCCACTGGGTACCTTGCTACACTGTGTATAGCCCCCCCACCCTGACTTAAGAATGGGCCTTTTCTAGTCCATAGTTTCTAAACAATCTTAAAGTGTTTTGAAGCATATATTTTTAATTCTTTTTTTTTTTTTTTTTGGTACCGAGAATCAAACTCAGGGCCTTGCACTTCCCAGGTAAGCACTGTGCTACTGAGCTACATTCCTTTCTATATTTTTATACTAAATACCAGGAAAAAAAGAAAGGAGATTTAGGCAAAATATATGTCTTTTTAAGGCATTTATTTTTCCATTCTGTATATGCCATAGTAGATTTGTTTTCTGGAGCAAGACTTTAGACATTTGCTAGCTAACATTGTTTAGATTAGGAATTTTTATAAGAATTAAAGTGAGAATATCCAGTTGAGAATATATTGAACTACAGAACAGGCATCCTATGTCGCAAAGACCATGAATAAATTTGGAGAGATTAAGGCTTTAGGAGGTGAACTGTAGCCTTTCCATAATTTCCTTATAAAATAATTCTTCTTATTATATTAGTGTGCAATACTGGGAATGCAAAAAGGTTTTTTATGTTTGTATGGAAATGTTGTAAGTGGTGGCGTAGCTTTAAAATAATGTCCACAAAATTATTTATTAATGAGGGCATTTGATAAAACCACATTTCCCCGAAAGTAAGACCTAACTAGAAAATAAGCTCTGGTTGTTACCATGATGATGGCCAGTGTCATGCAGAAGACTGTAGCTCAGTATTTTCTTGCTCTGGCTACTCTGTAATGGCAGGTAAGGCAATGTGCTAGGGCTGGTGTTTTTAATCTCTAGTTTTTACGGTTGATTAATTTTTGATAGGTCTTATTTTCAGGGAAATGAAGTTTTCATTTGATTATAATATTATTTCTTATTAAAAACGCATTCCAAATTTTAGCGAACTCAGACATTAGGAACATGTATGTCAAGTCCTCTCCTCTACTGCCATCTCTGTGTAGTACACTGTAAGGTTTTTTTGAAGGGAGTTGTTTGTTTGTTTGTTTTGTTTTTTGAGACAGGATCTTTTCATGTGTTCAGGCTGGTCTTGAGCTTGCTGTGTGGCCCAGGCTGGCCTTGAACTCACCAAGATCCTCCTGCCTCAACTTCCCAAGTGCTGGGATTACAGACATGCACCACAACACCTGGGCGGTGTGCTGTTTTAGTGATCTAGAAACTCCTTTACTCCTTTTGACATACCACTGTGCCATTCAAAATATGATTTCTAAAGACAGAGGAGTGAAGACAATTTCACAGTGTAGTCTCTAGAGACAGGCAGGAGCTGCTGTTGGGAAGCGGATAAGCTCCATCTACGCATTAGGTGTCATCATTTCAGAGACCTGAAGACAGTGACGCTAAATCAACTTACTCATTTGGAAAGGACCATTTTGGAGTTATGTTGTCTACACTTTAGAGTTATGTAGACTCCTTCAAAAGACCAGAGATAACTTGGTAATTTCTCTCCTTTTCTATGTGGACAGTCCCCTCATCCTCTTTAAAATGTTCTAAGGCATTTGTGATTGTTATACTGTATGCTCTTGATGTTATGTCATTGTAGCATTTCACTACTTCAGCATCAGCATGGCTTATAAAAAATGAAAGGATGGGAGTTTTGTACTTAATAGTCATTCACTAATGAAATAAAAACATTTGAGATGTATTGCTTATTAATTTCCTTTAATGCACTAAAATGGACTGCAGTTGTTGATCAGTTCACCTTTAGAATTATGGTATTTATGTGCAATAGAGCAGTATTTCTGAAAAAAATACTACAATATTCTCTTAGAATATTAGTTCATTGTATGCAAATGTCTTAATAAAAAGAGTTCTCTGATCTAATATATTTAAGAAATAGTCAAAGTTAAGTTACTTTCCTTCAGGAGTTTAACTTATGTGCCTTCTAAAGGGATGAAGAAATTTCTACTTACCTGACTTGCAGACCCTATTCTAAAGTCTGCCTCCCAGAAGGTAACAGCCTTTAGAAATGTCCTCATGTACTTTTGCGCTAACCAAGGTCTAGTTTTCCTTCATTTGCTTTTCCTTCTTTCTTCTCCCGCTTCCTCTCTTGCTCCCCCCACACACATGCTGGGGACTGAACCTATGGTGCACTGAGCTGAACTACATGCTCAGCCCTTTTTTCCTTTTCTTTTCAACAGAATCTTGCACAGTTCCTTCGGCTGACCTTAAAGTTGTGGTCTTTCTGCTTCCGCCTCCCAAGTAGCTAGGATTGTAGGCATGTTGTTACTTACCTAGATAAAGTCTCAGGTTTTTTGTTTGTTTGTTTGTTTTGTTTCTTGAGACAGAGTTTGGCTATGTAGTCCAGGCTGGCCTTGAGTTCATGGCAATCCTCCTGCCTGAGCCTCCTTAGTACTGCAATTACAAGCATGTGCCACCACACCCTGCATAAAATCTCAGTTTCTCACATGTTTTGAAAATAGGATATGTGTCTCATTGATTTTTTTCCTGAAAATCAGTAAACCTTCTTTTAGCCCTCGATATGGGAAAACTTTAAAATGTATCAGGAATTTTGTCTGCTTATAAATTAAGTTTATCATTATTTAGTCTTTCATGTGAGAACATTCAGAACTACCAGATTGCATCATATTTATGATAGTTGATAGTAGAGCCTTGTTGGAATTTCTTGTATTTTACATCTTTTACCTGAAAACTAAACTCACAACCAATATAAGCTTATTTTCTTGTGACTGGAACTGTAGAAGTTAATTATAGTTAAATTCATTTAATGATGCTTTTTTACAAAAATTATAAAAACACCAATTGTCAAGATTTCCTTTAGACTAGACTGAAGAATTAAAATCTAAAATTAGTGCTCTTAGATTAACTTGTGAACATGTAGTTATTTTTGCAGAAGTTAGCTTGACTTGTTTCATATACCCTTGTAGCAAATATCAACAATTTCATGAATTTTTAAAAGTTGCTTTTACTTTAAGCAGTGTTTTCATTGGACTTGACTAATATGATTAACAAGCTAATTGTTAATCCTATGGGCATTACCTTTTACTTGTAATACCTCACTATTTCCAGACTACCTAGGAATAGTTGGTCAGTGTTTTTTAAAAGTTCCTCTGCTTGCTGATGAGAAGTAATATCCTTAAAGTGTTAAACCATAAAATCCAATTCCAATTTGCCTGGTGTGCCCTTGCTTGCCTTGTCCTATCTCTGAAATTATTGTCATTGGTTTTATCTTATAAAAGGTCATCATCTCTGCCAGGTGATCAAGGTTAACAGCAGCATTAAGTTACAGTGCTGGCGTGTACTTGGATATGAGGTGGTAAGGACAGCACCTTACCTCTATGGTCTTCCTCCCCAGAACTCAGAGCCATGGTCTACTTATGAGCAAAACAGACAAGTCTCGATTCACGGACATTCTACAAAATACCCAATGCATATTCTTCAAAGCTGTCAAAGCCATCAAAAACAAGGAAATGCTAAGAAACTGTCACAGTGAAAAGGAGCCTGCCTACACAGTCATGAATAAGAAATGTAATGTGGCATTTTGGGTGGGATCCTAAAACAAAAAGGACATTAAGTGAAAACTAAGGAAATCTGAGTTCAGTAGTATGGATTTAGTTAATAAAATATCAATATTGTTTCATTAATTTTGAAAATAGACCTTACAATGTAAGTTGTTAAAAACTGGATAAACTGGGTAAGGGAGTATGTGGGAACTTTGCACTATTTTTACAAATATTCTATGAAACTATTCTAAAATAAAAAAGATTATTTTTAATTTTTTCTCTGCTGCACAAATAATTTTACAGAAATGCATTAACGGTATCATAACAAATACACAGGATGAAGAAGTGGTTTGTGCAGTCCTTAGTTTTTCTGTTGCTTTTCTTTTTCCTTTTTTTCTCTCTGCACCTCTGTTTATGTTTCTCTATCCCCGTCTTTTAGCCTTTTTGAGAGTAGTTCATCATAGGGACTACAGTGCTTTCTTCATGAATATTTTCTATCAATTGGTATACTCCTGTAAATATAGTGTTTGTTGTGGGCAGCTATACCCCTGCTTAATGTTCTTGAGACAACTGTGCCTCCGTTGCTACTATTATATCTCTGGTAGGAGCTAAACACCACATTTGAGTAGTATATGGGGTGCCCATCTGACCCAAACCAGGCCAGTTTGAGTTCTTTACAAGATTTTCAAGCAGAACTGAAAATTTTTAAGATCCATTGTTCAAATACAGCTACTGACCACATTTAATTGAGATATTTCAGTAATTCTCTAATAAGTGATCTCCAACAAATATCTCATTCACCCTCAAAACAGAGGGTTGCTTCCATTGATGTTTCTAAAAATGTGATGGGTTATGACAAGTTTTATTTATTTTTATTTTAAAAATAAAAGGAGGAAAACATTAACAGACAGACAACATTTTACAAAATAGCAAAAGAACAGTACAGACAATACGGAGTTATAAACAAAGTGGTAGGGAATTAACAATGCTTGTTGTATTACATATTGATATCTTCAAAGTGGTTTCTCATGAAAACAGATATAGACATGCAATACTGATCAACCAAGGACTCTTTGACAGTTTCTTTCAGCAAAGAAATAGAAGACAGTAGAACAACCATGTTAACTATCCTGCATATACATACATACAAACTTTCTCCTTTCCCTTCTCTTTTCCCACATCCCAGTTGCCCTTTACCATTGAGTGCTTTCCTATCATTTCACAATGTCTATCATACCTCCTAGTTTAAATTAACTCTTTCAGGTTTTACACTAGTGAAACAATGCAGTGCTTGCACATGTATGTTTGATTTATTTCACTTATGAGTATGGTCTCTAGTTGTGACCATTTACCTATAAAAGCCTCGAGTTTATCTTTCTTTACATCTGAGTAATATTCCATTATATAAAAGTACCATAATTTTCTTATCCAATCCTCAGTGGATGGACATTTGGGTTGCTTAAACTCCATTTAGAATGTTTATTTTTGTATATGCTTTTTTGTTTTATGCTTTATAAATTAGAATTGTTGGAACAGAATCATTCCATGAAAACAAGTTTAGACTTCATCCTGTTCTTAGCACTACTTTCCTGCCAAATAGTACAAAGTACTTAGCTACCCTGTTTTGATACTATGTGGTGAAAATAGTAATTCAAAGTCTTAGCTCTGTATAGTTTCCATCTTCAGGAAGTGCGAAGAGCACTTCATGTCTACTCCAAAACAAAGCAGAACTTCTCTCTGGGGGCTGCTGGATATGCATGAGCATGAATAATCACTGCAGAGAGCCCACTAATGCCAAGCCCTTTGGCAGGGGCTTTACATTCATTATATCATTTAATTGAATCATTGCAATCATTTGTGCTAGGCCAGACCTCTGGGAGCCTCTGGTCTGGGTTCTGGGCTGTCGAGAAAAGCATCTTGGATTCTGCTCAAGTCTCTTTTTCACTTTAGCAAAAGTAACACATAAACACAGGAATGATAGTAATACAAAAAAATGTATAGGTGTTTTTGACCCCCAGAGTTCTGTTCCACTCACCTTGACTCGCCTGAAGATGAGGGTTCCTGGAAGCCCAAGTAGAATATTGTGTACAGTAGAGGAGTGTGGAACCCAGGCTCGCCGCCTGTGTTCTCACTGATGTCAGCATTCCCACAGGACCTAAGTCATGAAAAGAGATAGAGTCCCCCTGCTCAGGAGGATGTGCCTAATCAGGCTTCCTAACCCTGCCTTCCTTGGGTTGTGAGGCCCAGGACTATGAAATACCCAGGAGCTGTCCATGGGCAGGCCTGGCCGTGGCGCCCACAATGCAACCTAGGTAGGTAGCCTTACTTCCTAGAGCAGAAATCTGATGTTCAAAGAGTGTGAATTTTCTGAAGCCCCCAACTAGAAGACAACTCAGACCTAATTCAGTCTGACTGAAATCCAGACTTTTAGCTGCCGTACTCTGTGGACTTTCTTACAACTGCTTTGAGGATGCCAGAAAAATAGTCCACACAGAGGATGGCCATTTGAGTCTGGATATATTAAACCTTTCCTTAGGTCCCATGAGTAGGATTGCTTAGATGATGACAGCAGTTGCTTCAATCTACAGTTAGTGACTTGAATTAGACAACCAATGGCATCAATCAGCAAATGCTTTGGTATCCTCTCCTTGCCAAGCAGAGTGAATGTAAAAAAAGATCACCCTTGCTCTGGAAGAGCTTGTGGTGTAATTGAGATAATTATACTTGCATGTAACATTTCTGAGTGCTCCCTCCATGACAGCCTCTTGTACTCATCTTCCCCACTGTGTCCCACCTCAAGGAAGAAAAGCAATGTAAGATGGGCAGTTCATCTGAGTGATGAGACACGGGCAAAGGCACTCTCGGTGATGGTTTATCAGATACCAGTTAACCTCATCTAAGGTAAGGGTACTTCAAGGGCATGAGACAATAATGCGCTCCACACAGAATGCCAGGGCCTAAGTAGCAGTTGATATGAGAGAAGGACACAATATGGGAATTGTGAATCAGCAGAATGACACTAGACCTGTGGGCAGCTTTGTGGCCCCATAGTTTAGAATCTCTCCATTGTTTCCTACCTCCATAAGCATACATTGTGTCATTCCTCAGCAGACTTACACTGCTACTTTAATGTGACAAGCATTGCTGATTACTTAACCAACATTGATTCTCCCATTCTTTTTTTATGATCATAACCCTGATTTTGTTTAAAGCAGAAGTATACTCAGATAAAAAAAAAATCTTATTCGCCATTGCAAACAGGCATGCCAACACAAAGCTGCTTTGACCAGTGAGATGTGATAAGGTAGAGACATCTCTGGGTGGGGCTCTGGAAAGCTGGAGTGTAGCTGGTGTGCTCGTTCTTGCCTGTTACCCTTTGTTCTTTCCATGCCTGAAATGCAAACATGCTGCTGGAGGTGAAGCAGTCATTTTGCAACCTTGCAATTCATTTTAAAGTGAAACTACTGGAAAGGAAGGCTTAACTGGAAGATGGAAGATGATTGGAGTCTGTGATAGAATCCCTTAGACATTCACCGTACCAGCCCAGAACAGTCCACCTCTAGCTGCAGTATACAGGAGAAAAGAGAGGCCTCTAAGCACCTCAAAATTTGGTGATCCCTACGTTCCTAATACATTTTTTGAAATTAGAACTATAAGAAGAAGGCCGAGAATATAGCTCAGAAGCACATGTGCCTGCCTGACAAGGGCAATGTCGTGAGTTCAATTTCTAGTACCAAATACATACATATATACATACATCTTTATTAACAATAAAACATATATAGTTTTAGGCACTCTACGTTGAACCCAGGGCCTTCACACTGAGCTACCTTCCCAGGTCTTAATTTAAAATTTTTGTTTTCAAGCAGAGTCTCCCTAAGTCATAAAGTTGCCCAAGCTGGGCATCAACTTGCAATCCTCTTGCCTCAGCCTCCCAGAGTACTGGGATTATAGACATGTGCCACAATGCTGGTTTAGTTTCTTAAAGTAGAACCTTTATGAAGATATGTAATTCAATCCTCTGGTTTCCCAAGGGAAATCTACAGCTGTGAGACTTTAAATATGATCGTGAGTCTTCTTGTTTTGTTTAGAGAGGGCCATAATGAAGTCATTGATTCAAGATCTTAGTTGAACTTTACATAACTATACAAAAATCAGCTGATTAATTTACTAATTATCTTTGCATCTTTTCAGATTGTATATTGGTAATGTAAAACATCATACAGTTCTAATTATATTGCCTTTTTTTGAAACTCAATTGAGCATTGAACCATTTTCTACAACTTACTGGTCATTTCTTGTCTAAATGGACTACTTGGTTAATACAGTTGGAAAGATTTTAAGTATAGATCATATTCTAAGACAGATATTAATGCTCATGTGGGCAAAAAAATCACTAGATACAAAAATAATACTGTCTTTCTAACAATTTAGTAGTAGGTTGAATAGTTTTTAAATGTTTGCCATATCATTTACTGGTCCCCAAACCTTGAAACTGCCTCCTCTCAGACTTCTAATGTGATAACAGGCACTCAAAACATACTCAACCTGACTCTTGCCCTGAAGAAATGTCTGATCTAAATTGGAAGACAGAAGTCTATGTTCTTCGGTTCTGGACATATTCCAGAATCTCAGACCTGTCTGGGTTCTGCCTTTTATTAGCATGTGACTTCAGGCAAACCTCTGAGTCTGAACTTATTTGTAAAACAGTAATAATACTTCCTGCCTCATAGCATGTTTTGGTCTCACTTCACGTATGACAGATTAAAACATTAAATATGCACAATAACTTGGGCACAGGACTCTATATCCTGATAATATTAGTTCCTGTGTAGATTAACTAATGGTCAACTTGTAAAACTCAGCTGAACTGAGTCAGCATGGTTCTGGGTATGGAAGGCTCAGCTGAGGATTGTCACCAACAGCATAAAAGGAGAAGTGGAGGGGAAGATGGTGTGTTGTTGATTCTCCTGGAGAAGCTGGTTTTCCTGATAAGAACTCAGCTGTTCTCATCGTCAGAGAAGCCTGTGTCCTCACTGTTGCCGAGGATGGCTGTGGTTCTCTTTGAGGGACCTCTGGTCCTTACCTTAAGTTTTGCTTCCTGGCTCCAGTGCAGATCCCACAGCCTGCTGGAACAGATCCTTCACCGCAGTGATGCACACTTTCTAGCTCCCACCACTGGCCTTTGCGCCTTCCCAGTATAGATCCTTGATACAGATTTGCGTGAGACATTGTCATAGGATCCAGGCCTGCAG